AGCCGTTTCGCAGAATAAAACAAAGGGTTGCAAACAATCAACTTCCTCCAACGAACCTCCAGCAACACATGAAGCAACACATGAACCAACAAACATAGCTTTGCAGGAGATTGAGACATCAGAGAGGTGGTCCACTCACTTCTCTGATGTCTCAATCTATCGCGTTGACTTTGCTTCCGCCTGAGCTATATCCCGTTGCGCTAGCACTGTCCAGACGGGGGCAACAGACGCTGTTCCTTGTGTCGCCAAGCTGCGTTAAAGGTTTTGGACACGCCTTCATAGATGAATTTGAACACGAAGATGGAATCAGAACTGTACTGGGGTTTGCCTTCACACTGCAGGTGGCGACTCGATCCCTCCTGCGCTAGCAAATTGTTGCTTGTCTTTGCCAAAAAGCGAGGAATGCGTTTCGTATGTTTTTCCTTCTTTGTCCCTTAGTGTTGATGTTGAAGAGTTGTTTACACTTGATCTCAGGAAAGAAGATTTTGATTCCGGGAGAGTCTCGAATCCAAATGGCTGGATCCACTGGAAGTACAACAAAATGTGCGGTGTGGCCAAGGAAGGTCGCAATTCTCGCATTCGGGACGAAGCCAAGGAGGGACAAGATCGTGACTTGACATTGCTTTAGCTTTTGGGCATCGCAAGTTTTGGTATTCTTTGTCAACTGTTTCTCAACACTGCTGCCAATACTGTTGTTGAACTTTGTGGCTTCGATTCATCTCAGGTGAAAGCACGTCTTCCAAACGGAGAAGAACTGGCTGAACCCCAGGATTTGATATTCCACATGGATGGCTTCGCAACGCAATCCCACAATTTGCAGTGGATGTGTAAGCAACTTGGAGCAAAAGTGTTTTTGCGCAAAATCCTTACCTTCAGATGAATCGAAGCCACAAAGTTCAACAACAGTATTGGCAGCAGTGTTGAGAAACAGTTCTTTGCGTTGGACTTCTTCCCATGTCTTTCCATCCTCACAGGAGCGAGCTGCACGACAGAATGGCTAACAATGATGCCATGAAGAAGTCAGGCCTTCATCCAGATGTTCGAACCAGTGTTTCTCCGGGTTTGTATTTAGGAGTCTTTCGTTTGCTGGTTGTAGTTTTGTTCTGTGAGCTATTGCTTTGGGTCATCCAAGCCGATCGCAGCTGAGGTATTGCAACATCCGCATACTCCACGCATCTTCAAACATATCCTTGGCCAGCCATGCGATCTCATGTTGGTGAACTGCAGTGCTGGTTTTCACCGTGCTAGCTGCAATGTGGCGTGGTTGTTCCATTCACTCACTGTCCCTTGCCTGAGAAAGATCTCAGCAGTTTGAGGGACTTGAGGGGGGTCAGATTCCATGATTGAGCAATGTGACTTGAGGGACTTGAGCAGTAAGCTCAAAGGTTTTGATTGCGATTGGCTCCTGCAAGGCAAGTGGCATCGACGTGGTTGTGATGGTTGTCAGCCTCAGCAAATCTTGGGACAAGGATGTCGTCCAGTTGTACGAATTCCTGCATGGAAACGTGAGTGCGTTCCTAGAAATGCAATAGACTATGTTGCATCTTTTTAAGTTCTGGGTTTTCAAGGTCGCATATTAATAGACTATGTTTTAGTAGACTGACTATGTTCTGTCCTTGTAGCACGCAGCTGCAACCAAGGACAGAGGCCATGAAAAAGATCTGGCAGAACAGCTGGGATCTCTGGGGAGCAGGAGATTTTGTTGCAAGGGCTTCTGCCACATATCAGGAGTTTCTGCAAATCCATCCTCTTGCCAGTTCTTGGAGATTTGGTTTTGTTTATATAGTATTTAGTTTTTAAGTTAGTTTGATGTTTGGCGTGTACTGTTTTTGTTGCGCCATTTGTTGTCTTTTGTCTTTTGTATTCTGACAAACCCTTGTATGGTTGCCTCCTCAGGCCAGTGACTGTGGCTGCTCCATCAAGACCAGTGACTGTGGCTACTTCATCAACTGCTACTTCATCAACTGCTACTTCATCAACTCGCCGCCGTCTCCCACTGCCGCCGCCGCCACCACCACCTGCAGCCGCAGTGGCTATTTCTGATGAGGAAGATGATGATCAGTGGCCGGACAGTTGGTTGGACAGGTCCTTGGACGCTGTGATGTCACTGGGCTTCACTTGGTCAGAGTTGGTTGGTTGATTCAACAGTCCACAAATCTTCCAGATCACAAAGACTTCGTCTGGCAACTTTTTTTCTTTCCAAGGTTGGAGATCCTTGCAGACGCTAAGATCACCAGACAAGTTCAGCTTCAATTGAGTGAACTGGCCGAGCCCCACCTCCATCTCATGATGCACCTCTGTCTTGATTACATGACATGGAATTGTTTTCACTTGCAAGTGCTCTCTGCTACTGGCTCGCCTGAGGGGGAAGGTTCTGCACTATCTTTGGGAGCCGGAGGCCTACAAAAGATTCTTGGCTTCACCTGTAGTGAACAAGCCTTGGTACAATGTACAGATTCTACATTTCCCCTTGCTTCTGGGAAACAACTTGTTCATGTGTGCAGTGGGCCGGCCAAACTGAGATATCAATGGATACCTGATGAAGTGCATGAAGTCCTTGGCCTGAGACAGCTCTTCCGCACTGTACAAAGCATCTTTCAAAACCTGTGTCACATTCAACCTTGCTCTGCCGGAGGGTGGAAACATGTAGACTCCAATGTAGACTCAACATCCCAATCATCACACTCAAAGCCAGCCACAATCAAACAATGTGTACATTAGTGTGCCTAAATTCAATGGCCTTGAATGTTCCGTGCGCCAGGGTGTGTTTCTGGACAAGGCATGGAGTCGGGGCAGCTCAGATTTGGAGTCTGATCAAACCTGAGCTTGCTTGTGTGATTTGCATGTTCTATTTTGCTGGGTCAATAACATTGATATCCTTTTGTATCTATTTGTCTTTGCCCAGGTGCGGCTATCGCTGATTCAAGGACCGACATTGGCATTGGCGGGAACAATACTCTTGAAATTGGAAGTTGTTTGATCCTTCTTTGCTCTCACATTTGCAGCATGTACTTGAGACAGATTCACATTCAAGACCTTTTTCGTTGCAGCCGTTTGGTATCAAAAGGGCCATCTGCGGACTTGGTCATGACAAAGTCATTACAACAGTGGCTTGGTATTGAACATGGTCAAATTGATGTTTGATTGCAACTGCTCTTTCTGAATTCGGGTTCCATTCTTCTTGGACAAAGGCTGATGAATTCAACGCGCCAGAAGCCGAAGAATGTTCAGAAGGTGCGCAAGAGACCAAGTGCTTCGTCGTGCAAAAGACCTGCAGCAAGTTCAGCAAACCCTTTGCCCTTTGAGATCCCTCAGCCAAGGCCTTAGATTGCATTGGGTCTACAGTTGATCATTGGTTCTGTTTATAGCTGGCTGCTTTGCCAAGGCTCTCTGCTTGGCCACATGCGGAACGTGTGGAGGACTTGATGACTCTTCATTTAATTTGTTTTGCTGCTCTCACAGTTCCTTGCACTGATGGGGGAAGGTCCACATGTTGCTCTGTAAGGAAATGGCCTGTGGTGATCTTGCAGCGCGTGGCTGACCTTTTGGGAACAGAGCTGGTGCAAAGCCGGCTGAAGCGTGAAATCGCAGTTTTTTCTTTCTTCTCAGGCATTGATTGCCAGAAGTTTGCTTGGAAGTTCTTGTCAGCAGCATGCGAATATCTTTGGCATTTCAAGCCTGCAATGTCATTTGATTTTTCAGTTTCCTGGCGCGCTACTTTGTGATGTTTGGCACAATGTCTTGTTGCCAAGTATGTGTTCAATTCTGTTCGAATGACGCTCGAAGGTTGAGAATGAGAAGGCGAAGCAGAACATGTTGAAGAAGTGGTTTGGAGCCGACGACCATTGCCTTTTTGGTGACATCAAAAGCATGTGCAGGAATAAACTTTCCGATGACGTTCTGATAAATCCCAAGAAGGTGCAGTGGTTGGCATCTGCCTGGTGCCACCAACATGACAAAGAATGTCCTATCAACCTCCCTGATGCAGCAAACACATCCTCCATTGGAGTTCTCGGCTCGCCATGTCAGTTGTTCAGTCAGAACCTGGGATTTAAGCAATTGCAATTGCGATGATGTGTTCATGGGCTTGGTGAAATGTCGAGTCAGACACTTGAGGATGGGTAAGATGGAAGGCTTCAAGAATATCAAGAGGGCCCAGGTCCATTCATTGTGCACAAGTGGCATGATGAAGTGCGCTATGAACGTCCACGAGAATGTTCCTGGATTCAAGGAGGCCAGCAATCGATTCTGAAAGCAACTCAAACAAAAAATTGAGCTTTCGTTTTTGCAGGAGCAGTTGCAACAGTGCGGCCAGTCCATCCAGAAAGCCCGGTTCAAGCCTCAAGTTGATTCAGAAAACCAAAGCTTGTTGCCTCACACTGCAGGCTCACACCGCAGCAATTTGGATTTCCTTGTCGGCGGGATCGTGACTACAGGATAACTTGGGACTCTACCCGCATGGAGTGGACACTGGCAACATGATTGCACATGTCACAGCAACAAACAAACAGTGTGGTCGTGTAGATGAGCTATCGCCTGCAGGTATATACCTTTGAGCAGCTGACCCAGCACATTCTGCTTCCAAAGGGTAATGTTCCGCAAGATGTGAAGCCTGCCCATTTCCTTTTGGATTCAAGAGATTCTGATCTGGTGTTCGAGAAAGATTTGACCAGGACAGCAAATCCTTATCATTGACTTTTCAAACATGGTGTGGGAATGGATGATGCACCTCTGGTTTCTGGAAGGACCCAACGCCTGCACCTCCAGCGGTACCGAACTCTACATCCAGGGAAACAGTTCTTTTCATTGAGTCAGAACCCAGCTTCAGTGCCGCGGACTGAAGATGCGAATGGTTTGTTGATGACATTGACAACCAATGTGCAGCTTTGGTTGCTTCGTTAGCAAGTAGATTTGATTGTGATGGCTGTGACCTTTTGATTGCGAAATTGGCATGTGTTGCATTCATTCGCAGTCTCAACTCAGAGTCACTTCTGCTTCAGGAGCGAAGAAAAAGGTCGCTTGATGACGTCCCAAGAGCTCCTGCTAAGCTTGGGGCTTCCAAGCTGGGGGCCAGCTGCTGCTGTGTCCGGAGTGGCCGGGGCCTCAAAGCTGCAGATTCACCAAACCAGTCTGCACTTTCCAATCAAGGATGTGATGGATTTGCGTGGTATTCCACACACTGCTTTGGAGCACGCTGCTGGAAACGGCATGTGTGTGCCTGCTGTGGCCTTTGCCATGTTGGTGGCAGTGCTAGCTTTGCAGCCGAAGATCTGATTTCGATCTGAGGTTCATTAAGTGATGCCGTTGGTCAAAAAGTCGCCCTTGACACAGTGCCAGCTAAAACCTCTCACATTCAAACGTGATAATCACACATTGTTCACAAACATTTGGTATGTGTTCACCTTTCACCTGCTCACAATCGTTCATACTGGTTCAGGACATTCATGGACGCTGGCTCAAGCTGGCACTGATGCCACCTTTCCAAAAAGAAGGTGCTGAAAAGAATGCAGTCCCGCTGTTCAGGCGACTGAAGCCCAAACCATTTGGGATTGAAGGCGAAGAAGTAGAGACCCGACCAGCTAAACGGAATGCTGCTGGCCTCAAACGCCCTTTTCAGGATGAGATATCTGAGAGTGAATTGGAAGGATCTGAAGCTGAATGTGAGCAACCAGATCCTGTATTTAGCTTGGGCTGGAGCAGCCTGCACACATTTGTCAAAACAACAGCTTGGGACAGGCATGCCAAGGAGGTAGCCGAGGAAGAACGGCTCAAAAGAAAGAGAACTTACAATAACGCAAAGAGAGCTGCCTCAGCAGATGCATCAGGAAAGAGACAAAAGAGTGATGTGTTTGGAACAAGTGGTCGCAGCCATGATCGCATTTTGTCCTTGGTCAAAAGGACTTGCTCGTGTGCCTTGTCCCACAAACATGTTGCAGTGTTCAGCTGTGAGTCCCCCTTCCAGAAACACCAGCCGTGACTTCTTGCAATAAGGTGCAAACAAAACCTGCTTTACCCAGTTCGAGCGCAAGAGCAAAGACCTGCTCAAGTTTCTCACAGAGTTTTGGTCTTTGAACAAAAATGAACAGGACCATTTGGTGGGAACCTTAGTCCAAGCTCCGTCCACCTGTCCTCTTTTTGCTTTTTCATTGGACGCAGTTGTTTGTAGATTGAAATTTGAAGTGCGCTGTGTGTGGCTAAGTTGACAAGCAGCTTCAATGGAAAGGGCCAGGTCGATGTTGACCACATGAGTGTTGCTGATTGCCACGTCAAGAGCCGTCCAAAGCTTACTGGTTGCAGCTATGTGATCAATTGAATTGCTCATGTTGAGCCTATACGGGCTCAGATCTTTTTTTCAGGAAAGTGTTTGGTGACCATCCTGGGCATTGGAACAGAGAGATTGAAGAAGGCAGAAAACACTGTGCCGGATCTCCGGCACGGGAAGCAGGAGAGACCGACCTCCGCAGAGAGTGATTCTTGTCGGAGTTTCTTCCAATCTATGTACTACAAGGTTGCTGAATCACTCCCGGACCGCTTCATACGACGAAAGCGCAAGAGAACAACTCATGGCCACAAACAATTTCAATATGATACTGATGACTCAAGTTTTTACGAGGCTGACGGAGAGGAAGAGCAAAACGATGATGCAGATTTGTTTGCCTGGCTCGACAAAGCCACAGATGGTCCTTTGCACAGCATTGCTCTCAACAGCAGCAATCTGGTCCAACGATTTCTTCCTCCCGGAAACCTGACAGAGTTGTATGATCACTACCAAGTGGTGCAATCAATGCTTGGAATTTCACCTGCTTCGTCATTTGGCTGTATTTGCCTAAGTTCAACTGTTCAACTGTATTGACCCCTGCAACTGCCGTGCAAGGTACAGCACATTTCGCCGTGTTTACCAGCAGGAATGGAAATCTGCACTGGGCTTCCGTGCAAAGACTATGCTGCTTGCCTTTGTGTACTGATTGCGCTTTGATTTGGACTGTGGCCTTTGATTTGCAAGCGGCTACTTACTTTCTAGTTCATTCCAGTGTACTTTTGTTCAGGTTCACTGTATGTGACATTTGCGAACAGTTCAAAGCTCAGCTGCACGATCCTGCAACACCATTGGCAGAAAAACTTGGACGTGTGAAATCCTACCGCAATCACTTGCGGTCTCAGTACACAGACCGAAGTCTGTTGTGGCAGCTTTGTGACCTTTCTTACGCAAGAGAGGGAGACCTGATGTGCATTTGGATAGGCGGAATGGAACAATCAAAGTTCCAAGTCCCAAGAAGTCGCGGATTGAAAACGGCCTCAGCAACGTTGCTTGGTTTTGATCCTGTTGCGAGATACATTTTCTGCTCTGACTGTGAAAGTGAAGGTTGTTGTAATGGTGAATGAATGTGAAGGATTCGACTGTGACTCAGGTCCAAGCTACAAAAGCCCCGGATGAAGCTGCACGGGGCATGGAACTTCGGGTATTCACTCGATCTGCACTGCATTGACGAAACCAGCAAACACGACGCCAGCTGTATAATAGAAATACTGGCTCAAGCAATCCAGTATGCAACTTTGCCTAATATGACTTTCAGCCTTCCTGTCTTTGTTCATTGGTAATGTTCCTCTTAGCTTCTGGCCATTTTCTTGAAACATCCATTTAGATTTTAGTGCATTGATGGTTCACCCACCAACACACTTCCAACTGCATGTTGGTACACAGTGACGTGTTTGCACACTTTCCTTCAGCCGAGGCATTTGACAAATGTGACAGGACCGGAACTTGTCGGCCACGACACCTCGTTGTGGTGGCACCTTGGTTGAAATGTGATGTTGTGTGCAGTTTGATGCAACCCTGGTTGCTGAGAGTTGTGAACCGAATAGCTGAAGTGGCCCAAATATCTGAGGCCGACAACACTGTAAGGGAGGCCAAGAACAGGTTTGTCCTCTCGTGGATGCATCTTCAATGTCTCAGGGGCCGTTTCCGCACAGCGACTTTGGCAATGCCACGCAAAAGCCATTCCCACGACAGAATAGGCCACAGCTACATTACGATTGAGTTCGCGAGCATCAGTATGTCAAGTCACATTCAGCCACAAACAGTCAGACGTATACATGTTGTCAAACTCAACCACAACCTGTCACATGCGGCCTGTGCGTTTCATGTGTTCCTAGAAACCTGCACTGCAGATCAGCTGTGGGGATGCTTGAGCAGAAGACTGTCCAACTCTGACAGAATGTTGACCGATCAGGCCAGTTCATTACAGTTCATGACTTCATGAGTGTCAGGCTCCCAAAGGCATGATTTTTTTGATGAATGGCCATGGCAGGATATGCTGAGCATCTTGCGCAGTGAATGCTCGAAACCGGGCCTCAGAAACTGGGTCGGCAACAACACCGACATCAGAGTCCTCAAGCTGAACGTGCTTTGTCAAATTCAGTCTTGGACTCTGCTTTTTTTAAATTGCACTTTGGGTTCTTTGGTCCAAGCTGTGCTTTGGGTTCTTTGCTCCAAGCTGTGCATGTTATCTTTGGATTGAATTCATTGAAAACAAGGTATATCGCCCATGGCGAGATGAAATGATGAAGATCGGAGTGGGGCTTAGTGGTGGGTTGTTGGAGGACGCAACGGCCAACCACTTCTTCATGTCTATGCAAGCGAAAGGCACAGTGCAAGAGTCTTTCAATGTATCGTTGATGCAGTTGATGCAAACATGAAGCATCATGATCTTCAATCTCTTTGCTGCCCTGCTAGACCTTCCTGATGCACTTCAGAATGCAGCCGATCGTGGCTCCAACCGGAATACACCAAGCAGCCAGGACATTTTTGCTTGGTGAAGAAGTACATTTGCGAAGAGGACCTTGGTCAGAGACCGCTGTTGGTTCTCACCAAAGCTGCTGCAGATCGAGTTGCTGATCTCCCTGAAGGAAAACACTCTCTTCGAAACGTATCTGCTGATGTGAAAGGTGACTGGAGGAAACTCGCCACGACTGTAGAACAATACTATGGTCCATCATACACTCCAGCCTCACAGTACTTGCGACGACTTTGCGAAGACTACTTCCATCAAACCTCCGAACCATGTGCACTACCCTGGCTGACAGTCAGGGATGAGAGAATAGTTCCAGAGCCAGTGCTCAATTTGCACAAGTGCATTCTTGACGCCTTGGCACCATCAGCGCCCCTAAGGGCTGCGTGGCAAAGACGACCATAGTGGTTTGTGGAAAAGTGCACTACTCAATGTTCATTATCGTTCAAATCCATGGTCAAGGCAAAATCATTTCACAATCATTGAGATTGCAATGGGCTCAACCAGGAACATCCTAAACCCTAAACCCTAAACCCCAAACCTGAAATGTACCAGCCAAGTTGACCTCAAGCTCAGATGATTGT